TATATTATTATTATTATTATTATTATTATTATTATTATTAATTATTATTATCCCTTACCAATTTATATGGGCTTGACGACATCTGATTAGTAGAAAAAAGTGCGTATGATAGTGTCCAAAAGTGTATTACGTGCATACTTAGATAGACAAGTTACAGATAGAGATTCAAGGAGTACAGATGCATTGTTCGTCATTGATCTGAGAACAATGATGATTTTTTAAATAATGGTGGTGATGAGTGATGATGTGGGATTGTGTTTAAGTAATGTTAGCGTTAGTCCTATCTTCCTCTGCTCCAATGAGTGACAAGGGACGTGGGCACCGATTATTATTATTTAATATTATTATTATTAGTTATTTTTATTATTTTTATTATTATCATTATTATTATTATTACTAGTAAAAGTACCCGTTCTACAAACGGAATAATAGTGAAGAAGTATGAGTAAAGTTAAGAGGAAAAAGACTGAAAACAGGAAAGAAACAAAACATAAATATTTTACCTTGAATTTATCCATGTAGCAGCCAATGTTGACTACCTCTAGGGGTAAGACTTCTTCCCCCTCTTCGAAGGCGTTGCCTTTTTTCCTAAAGTTCCAGCTCAATCACTTTTTAAAAAAAGAGTTAGGTCTACACGCCTATTGTTGCTTCCTAGAAGAACCCAGTCTAGATTCTGGATCTAGCCTAGATCTCGAAAGATTATAAAGACATAGGCCAATAATAGAAAGAAGGGGCCTAGGCCCATAGAGATATCAAAGTTTAGAAATTCACATTTTAAACAACCGACAGGCGTCACAGATGGCCTAAATTTCTAGATCTATTCACAGCAGAAATAAATCCACTTTCAAGAATACTTTCATGATTCTTGATCTCGATATAGATTCACCGACAGCCTAGTTCTAGACTCTAGATCTATTCACAACAGGGAAAAATCCACGTTCAATATATGTACTTTTATCATTCTTGATCTCCATCTAAGATTCACATATAGATCTAGCCTAGATCAAGATCTTAGAATCTATAAAGCAAGAAAAATCCACTTTCAATATTCAATAGGTTATCGAAATATCACAAATCTAGATTCTACTTTCATTTCATGATTCTTCTTGATCTCGATTTAGATATAGATTCTAGATCTCATCTAGACTCTGTGCACAAAACACACTCATCCTTTGGCGTGCACGCTAAATACACTGCAGGAGAAATCTACTTTCAATACTTTCACTTTCATGATTTTTTATCTTGATCTAGATATTAGATCTAGACATATTCACACATGCGACTACACGCAGGGCGTAAACCGGGCTACGATTGGCTGAAACTTTGACTTTGACCCATGAATACATTAAGTAGGCCTACGGTAGGCTCAGGGGCGTGGCGTCACTTCCAGAAAAGGTGGCGCCAAGAACAAATTTATCACAACGAATAGTATTGCCTACATATTACAGGCCTATAAACTATAGACCAACTAT